CCATCTCTGGTATCATCTTCTCAGAAATGTCTCAGCTTTGCTGTCCCATGCTACAGAGCCATGTTATTGTTAAGAGACCACTAGATCTGAAGTCAGAAGTAGTAAGACACAGAACAGTACCTGCTCCTATTTTGAATGTATGTTGCTGATGTCAAGCTTCAGGAGGTGAACACTATATATTATGTCTTCTGATGTAATATTCCTTGGGTTGTTATCACACGCAGAGATGAGGAGTGATGTAGTACCAAGGTCTTCTTATTCCAGTACGCCAACACAACTGGTCCATCAGGAGGATACATCTTATTTTTCTGGCAGTCATGATAGTGATCCACTTATGAGCCATTCATGCAGCAAGGAATTCAAGCCACTCCCTGTGAAAACCTCCCTTACTGGATCATTTCTGTTCAGCCATGTCTTATGATACTCACGGAGAATCTGCAAGCAGTGGATAGACAAGAGGACTCAAAAATTATTTATTGTTAATGCATGTAAGAGGTAACTAGGGCTCATACTACTCAGCTATACTTGAATATAGTAAATAAACATAAGACATCTGATGAGTATCTACTGGCCAAACTGTCAGTCACCAGGCAGATGGAGGAAGATTCTCTTTGGAGGAGTGTGATCATCTGTCTTCCTGAGTTTTCCTCTTCTGATTCTTTGTTCTTTCTATAGTTCTTTTGGGGTTTATACTTGTTTTGCCAGTATTTTTCCTCTGGAGACCTAGAACTACTATTAGCATGTCAAGAGTTAACAGTTACACTTCTTTCTCCTTGTGGGGCAGTGTCTTAGCTAATGTACTTTCTTACACCTTAACAGTATTTTTTTCTGATAAGACTGAAGGAGGCCTTGTATCACAGATGGCTGAGTCTCCATGCTGAGGGTTACATTTGGCAGGTGTCTCCGATGCTATGTGCTAAACAGCACATCTCTGAACAGAAAGTGCATCTGGCTCCTACTGTGTTAGCCACTGGTTATTCGTTAAAAGCTGGAGGCACAGGTGATCCTTTAGATCACTCAGGGAAGCTTTGGGGCACTTCACAGAGATGTTTTCTCCCCCACCAGACCACTTTGTACTATAACACCCCACCACCAAAAACAGAAGAGGTCTTTGTCCTGGATGTGGAAACAGTACCAAGAAAATGTGATGGTGTCAGGAAAGAGCTTGACATCCATGTGTCTGTCAGGTATGAAATCCCTTGAGGCTCCTTCTTCAATGTAAAGAATTGGGAACCCAGTTGTACGACTAGAACCCTGTCTTACAGAAACAAAGACACAGGGATGATCTCTTCTTCTCCATAGATCCCAAAGAGATTGTTAACTGAGAATTAAGGCCTGTAGGAGCATGGCAATGCCCTGGTTGTGTCTTGCAGAACCACAGCAACTATCTCAGTCAGCATGGAGCAGCTCAGCAGCCCCCAGAGCACTAGGAGATGAGATGGCAGCATTCCCAACAGCCAGAGCTCCCACCCAGGCTTGGCAGCCTGGGCTGAAGCAGCCCTGAGATGCATTATCCTAGGTAGTGGGAACCTCTGCTGGAACTAGACATCAGAAACTCCAGTCCCTATCCATATTTCACTTGCATGTATCTGTCTAGGATGAGAGTCTTGATCCATATTCTCCATGTCTTACTGTTCTTACTGAAAGAGAACATTGCCACTCTCAACCTGTAACAGCAAAGGTCACTTATGTGTGTTGGAGAAGGCAACAGGAAGTATTAACACGTTAACCATAACACATTTGCTGCACAGTCTGTCTCCATACTAAATGAGTAGATGGGGGTGATTTCTTTGTCCCTTTCTCCCATCAGGTATACATGCTACTGAGCTTTCATATCACTGTAGAGCAGGGTCCATTAGTATCTCCTAGAAATGCTATGATGCTTTCCACATCTAATGTGCTTCTCTCCCGACTCTTTTCAGTTATGTAGGGGACCGTGGGACCAGTAACATGGCCCTGGTGGAGATGGAAATGCTGTCAGGGTTCATTCCTGTGCAGAGCTCTGTGAAAGAGGTAAGACTTTTCTTCTGGCTTTCCTTGAAGAGAGCAAAATCTGTTTTCCAGTTGTAGCTCAGCCAGAAATATCCAAAGATGTAAGAATTGCTGAAGAATGGTAACTACTTATCTTACTAAAAATTAAGTAAACTAAGCAAGTGCAAATATAGAGGGCTATTTCACAAGGCAACTTTCTGCTTGCACAACTGATTGTGCAGTTTTTCATATTGAGTAGTAAGGATTGCATATGCAGTAAGAAGTTAGACAGGACCTGAAAAGCACCTAGTTAGAATCACCTGGGGTGCACTGAGACCATTTGCAGTTGCCAGTGCCTCTGTAAGGGATATTCCATGAAATGGTGTTGAATCTCTTAGGGTTGTTCAATGGCTCCATTGTTCCAGGTGATAGCTAGGAAGATCCATCATAGCCTCCTAATAACCATCTTTCCCTTTGCTACAAGTACTGAAAGTAGGAACATGGCTCAAGGACACTTGATCCAAATCTGAAAAAATGTTTTCTAAGGCCTCTTGTGCTCCCAACAATCTCAACAACATTACAGCTGAGGAACGCAGGCCTGACTAGGCTTAGTGCTTTAGTCAACAGTGGTTCACTGACAAATACTAAACTTGGTGTGAGACAGAGAAGGCCAATACGCTGATGTTAACCAAGCTCATCTCTTGCCTTCCTATACAGCTGGAGAAGATACCCCTAGTGAAAAAGACAGAGATAAAACCAGACCAAGTCACAATCTACTTGGAAGAGGTAAGAGGAAGAACACAGGGAACTGACAGCTGAAGAAGTAGCAATTGAAGCACTTTGCACTGGGACTTTCACAGATGAGAAATACAAATTTCTAATCTGATCAAGTGGGCTAAAATTTCGGCCAAAGACGAAGAGTGTGGAAGAACCTGGAAAGACAGAGAAAGAAAGCTCTGATGGAGAAGGAGTAAAGGTGGTATGTAGATGACTTTGAGACGACCATTGCATTTCTGCTTACTTCTTTTCAGCTGGGTGAGACTTCTCTGAAGCTTAACATCTCAGTGGAACAAGACGTTGAAGTGCAGAATCTGAAAGCAGCAACAGTGCATGTCTATGACTACTATAAGCCAGGTGAGATTTCACTGACACTAGCAAAGAGTAACTATTATACACCCCACTCAGACATAATTCTGTCTGTGACCCTTATTCCCTTATCCCCCTTATTCCAATGCACTTCCTCCTGCAACTTCAAGCTTGGGTTTCCTCTGTGCAAGACTTTAACATTCAAGTAGCAGAACTGCTTGCTTAGAAAAGTTCTTCAGATGAGACTGCCTGGCACTATGATTATGTTGTAGGGTGTTATGTGTTCAAAATGACACACTGTTTACTTCCTCTAGCTTCAAGCAACATCTCTGTGGAAAAAAGACTTCTCTGTCAACTTGCCATGTCTTTTCCAGCTCTTTAGCTCTCTTGAGAATACTTAGGCATTTATTTCAAATCCATATTACATAGTGCCACCCTGATCCATTAGAAAGCAGAATTTAGTTGTATGCTTTTCATATATAGTGTAACAATCCTACCTTCCATTGGGTTCTTCCATGTCTTAGAGGATAATAGGAGAATAATTTGTTACCCTTTAAAGCTCTAAATGAGTTATCAGCACGCAGAAGAGAGATCTTTTTGTCATTTTGAGTCTCTTTTCTGTACTATGTATGAGACAAAACAGCAAATGGAACACTAAGAATTATTTTTAAAAAAGAATTTGAGAATAAAATGGAAAAACTGCCACTGATGATTTAGAAAGCAGCACCACAGGCCTACATGTTTTGTACTAAGTTCCTTTCTTTTTCCCCCTTCCATACCATGGCAAGAAGAGGAGGACACTTCTTAATCCAGCCATTACAGATCTAAATATTGTCACCTAATATGGTCTCTCTTTGCTATTTCATTCTGTACAAGAATTTTTGTGCTTAGTACATAAAATTTAAAAAGTGTTACCTGACATGAAAATACTTATTATCAGTAAATAGGCAAGGCTGTTAGGATACACTATTGAAAGTTTCTCTGTTTACAAAAAATATCCTTGCATTACAAGGTACTATGCATAGGATGATCTTTCACAGTTGTATGGGACACATGTTGGGGAGACAGACCGTTGGTCTGACCCACTGTAGACACTTTTTTGTTCCTACATTTACAGTCTGAAGAATGAAACATTAAGGTAGTGGGATGGTTGTGTCACAGAGAAAGCTTGGTACTACCCTACCATGCAGTTCTGCAGCTTACTGCTTTTTCTCTTTTGTTTCTACAGATGAACGCACAGCAAGAGAATATGTTTTCCCTTGCAGTTCAGGTTAGTGTTAACAGGCTTCCAAGGTGGGAATAGCTGGAACAGAGCAGAGGACTGGTGGTAAGCAAACAAAGCATCCCACCTCTGCTCTGTATTTAAGCCCATCATGTGATGTAGGGCCTTCTTGGACTATGGTTGAGCATACCATGGAAGGTTAAAAGGATCTATTTTTATTTCACTTCCATACACTCCTCACATGTGCAATCCTCACAGCATCCCAAATTGGAATGCAACTGGAAATGCCTATGTCAATGACAAAAGGATGTTGAAAACTCATCCCCTAAGATCTTTTAGTCCTTAGAGAACTTCCTTAGAATTCATCAGGCACTTTGCCTTTTCTTTCCTCTTTCTTTTCACAGATGTCTCGAAGAAGGTTTCTTACTAGTATGCTCTGGCTCTGGTTCCATAAGAAAAACTTCATTGCTCTTCCCTGCTGTGTTGGAAACACCCAATTTCCTTTCATCTATGCCCTAAATTTCTGTGTGAAACCTGGCTCGATACACAGTAGTTTGGGGGATCAAGTCAAATAAAGTATGTGCAACCTGGAAAAAGGGCAGTGACTTTACAGTTGATGAAGATTTCAATGCCTGAAAAAGAGAAACACTGTGCCCATTATGGTTACATACTTTGCTTTTCATCACTACAGTGGTTTAACTCTCTCTCTCCTCCCCAAGTCCCATCTCTGAGCTATCTTTTCAATTTAGTTAACACAACAGCCCACAACCAAACTCCAAGAAAAAAAAAACAACAAACCAACAAAAAATCCCCCAAACAAACAAACAAACAAAAAATAAACCAAATAAAACCCCAACCTTTTTAACCCTGCTCTGGTTTACTACATGGCCCTGTGAATCATCTTTCTGGATTAGGAACAGGCAAGGGAAGGCTAAGGAAGAAATACTTCACCAGTTCATTCAGACAGAAAAGGACTTTCAACAATGGCTCAGAAAGGAAGGCCATGAGACCAAAATAAACATTCACTGCATGTTTAGACTCTGGCAACACCCAGTCCCAGTCCCATCGTGTCAAGACATTAACCCAAATGACTAATCCTTACCTGTGGCACTACTTAAAAAAGAAAACAATCTGAGGACTTTCAGGATGCAACACACAACAGGAGAATAGGGTATGCAGATGGCTCATCAGGATATGCATTGACATTAGCAAGGTAGCACATAAAAGATGGGCTACTAGATAAGAAAAAAGGGGTGCTAGTTTCACAGAGCTGATTACCAAAAAAGAAGTTACCAGGACAGTCCTACCATAAATATGAAGTAAAGCTATGAAGTCAACAAGCCCAGGGCCAATGGAGAAGTGAACAAGGTGAGCTATGAATTTTGGAAGTGATGATGCTTCTAAAGAGGAAGTACCTAGGAGACAACAAGGAAAAAAAAAAAGGAAAAAAAGAAACATAAAGTGAAGCAGGTCATGTGACCAGAGTTGTTTGTGAGATTCCTGTCTAGCAGCACTTTGCTTGCAAAAGGGCTTGCAAAGGGCAGTAAACACTTGCACTCCTACTCATCATTACTTTTGAGGCTGTCCAGTAGGGACAGGAAAAAAGGAAAATAAAAGTCTCACAGCAGTGCTTAGGAAGCATTTAAGTGAGTAGAAAACCTGAGGAACCAAGTGATTCCTTCTGTGGACAACTGATACAAAAAGAGGACAGGGCTCTCCTTAAGTAAGCAAAAATGTGAAGGAACTGAACAGGCCTCCAAGGGTTTTTCCCCTAGCATTGCCCCTTCCCAAGACATTACAGGATTCAAGAGACTGTTTGATGGTGCTCTGCCAAGGGAGCAAAGTGGGACCTGCAATCTTTCAGTTGCCTTCCTGACAAGTTTCTTCCTCTGCATATTTGGACTGGACTGAAAGAGCTTCAGGATCAAGGTCCTCTGATCTGGTTAAACTTCAGATAGCGAGGTTATAAATAAAACCTGAAGCCTGTAGCCCAGTGTGCTCATTGTGGCCATGAGCCAGGCTCTCCTGCCTCTAAATAGACAGGTGTCAGGGGTCTGTTTTACAGGTTATATCAGCAGCTGGCCATGAAATTAGATCTAAATAGAAGAAGGCCCACCAAGATTACTCTACTTCTGATGATAGGAAGTCTTGTCACCTTGTACCTGTGTGGACTAGGTAAGTAAGAAAACCAAGTATGTGAAATAAGAATACAAACAGATATTTCCAGTCTGTGGTTTCAAATCAGATTGAGGTAGTTCAGCTGCAGTTGAGAGGGTCTGAGGAAGCTGACAAAGCAGAGAGTTGAAACAGAGCTGCTGCGTGGTAAGCTTCCTTAAGATAGGAGTGTACAGTAAAAGTCAGTGAGGTCTCTGCCTCTTGGAGCAAACATTAGGGAGCTAATCTGTTCTGAGTGGGCAGTCTGATGCTTGCTCAGTTCTTCTGACTGTTGAAAGGTGCTCCCTGTCCTTAGTGACATCCACAGGATATATCTTCCAGTGCAAGAAAGGAACCTTTGCTACGTGTAAGCAAAGGTGGGGCAGATGGCCAGGAAACTTCCTCCCATCACCTCACCACAGCTACTATGTGAATCTTGGTTGTTCAGATGGTCTGGAGTCAACTGGGAAATTTCCTGCAAAGTTTGCAGCTTCAGCTTGAGAAAAAACAAGGTCTAGAAGAGCATAGTACAGGAGGCAGCTAACAGGGAATCTGGTAACTAGCATCTCAGACAGCAGGCTAGATGTTCATTTATATGCCTGTACTATATGAATCCATACGGCACAGTATGCAGGCTCATCGTTTTGCTAAGTGCTGTTCACTCACCTGTGTATAAGGTTCATTTGCTACCACTGTCTTCCTGACAAACTGGAAAAAAACTCTGTGAACTCAGAAGGTGCACTTTTCCTCCAGGGCCACTGAGTGTCACCATCGCTCCGTGGCTTGCTCTGCAAGATGCCATTTCTCCAGACAAAAAATTCCTTTTCTAAAATGGATCGGAGCCAAAAAAAAAAAAAGGTAATTGGGATGAAAGTGGGCTGCTTCTTCCTGCAGAACCCAGAGCTGGGAAGATCTGCATCTAAAACGTGAGTTATCTGTGAAATGCCTCATTTTTAGGCAAAGAATCTGACAGGTTTCCAGCCAGACCCTCTAAGCCAGTCTCACAATTTGCAGCATGAGCCTCGGTGACAACAATTATGGGATGGAACAAATGCTTTATCAGGAGACACTAAAAAGTCCGTGATCCCATCATTTGGTGAGCAAAATGAGCAGAATTTGTAGAGAAGAAGTACCAACATTCACAAAAATAAGGAAGGTGGTGGATAAAGTGAATGGAAAACAGCTCTTCAGCAAATTTTTCCATGGCAGACTGGGGGCATGTAATGAAACTAGCTGCTAATCAATTTAAAGCAAAAAAAATAAGGTACTTTAGACTGCAAGAACTTGCTGCTACAAGAGTTATGGAAGCCAAAGGTATCATCAGGTTCAAAAACCTTCCCGACAGTCTAACGGAAAACCAGTCTACACCAAATAAAACAGGTTGTGATGTACCCTCCACCATCCCTACTACCATGCTTGAATATGGGAGTAGAACAAGGGGAATGGATTGTACATATTGGCCAGGTGCACCTGCTTTCCCTAAAAAGTACTAAGGGCAGCTGAATTCGGTGGACTGAAAGATCCAGTGGCTTCCTTTTTTGCTGGATCGATGGGGATGAGTGAGAGCTTACTTGTTTCACATCCCAGCAGTAGCAAAGTGGTGTGCAAGTTCACAACAGAGATGCACACACAGGTTAATGCTGTCAGGAGACAGTACTTCAAAGGCATCCATATAAGCACAGTGTCACCAGCCTGATCCTGTTCCTAAGGACCAGAGCTCAGAGAAATGTGCCTTCATAGGTCTCAGGTTTCTGGCCGTACAAACCTTTCATCCTACTTGCTGACTAGACAGACCACATGCACACAACAGAGAGCACGATCGCACGGGAAATAATTTAAATAATTTATTGCAAATATAGTACAGGTTGTGGTGATCAGATGCAAAACTTGGGCAAACATACTGATTGCATTTGACTGGTTTTGTTTATCCCTATGTTCTCTCCATTTGATCCACCTTGATCCCTCCACTTCCCTGCCTGTGATTTTTACCCCAAGCTCACCAGTGTAGATTTGTAAATCCTCAAATTCTCTTTATCGATTCCAACAACACTCCCAGCCTCCAAGCACCCCCCAGTAAGTCCTAAAGCCTCTTTATTACAGTATTTCCTCCTAGTCCTATTGCAGTAGCTCCCCTTCATTTGCATACATTCCAGAGAGTTTTCTCCCTTGAATCCACTTCAGTGGGTTTTGCAACAGGGACAAATGGCTTAGTCGTTCATCCAGTTGTTGGGGGTTTTAGGAGTGGTTGATTCACCGGGATTACTGTTAGCTGGGTTCCCTGCCTTGTCATTGTTTCTTTGTTCACTATCTGACCTTTTGTTTTGAATAACCTTAAATATCTCCTTAAAAATCAGCCAGTTTTCCATCTGAATTAAAAAAGAACTCTCAGCATTTAGAGCAGGTATGTTTGGTAACAGCCCAAATGCCCTCCTGTACAATGTATTTTGCTGCTTTTCAGGCAGCAGCAAATGTTATTTTGTGATGCTAAGTCAATGAAAATCAACTCCAATTGATAATGGAAATTATCTCCTGCGAATTGATAGCCTGGCACTATCATTACAGAGCCAGATGGAATGTTCTTGCAACATGAAGCTCAAACATGTCATTTGCAGGAGCATTTATGCTGCTCATAGCCTCTGTGGTGCTTGAGCTTCTGCATCTTGTATATGTGGGTTCATGAGCTGTCATCCTTAAAGGAAATTCACCAGCTCTCATCTAGATGAGCCACTGGTCTGACCTGATGGACGTTTGTCATTTTCTTAGAAACAAATATATTGATCACAGAATCATAGAATGGTTTGGGTTGGAAGGAACATTAAAGATCATCTAGTTCTGACACTCCTGCTATGTGCAGGAACACTTTCCACTGGATCAGGTTGCTCAAAGCCCCATCCAACCTGGCCTTGAACACTTCCAGGGATGGGGCAGCCACAACTACTCTGGGCAACCTGTGCCATTCTTCACCACCCTCACAGTAAAGAATTTCTTCCTAATATCTAATCTAAATCTTCTCTCTCAGCTTGAAACTATTGTCCCTTGTCCTGTCACTACATGCTCTTGTAAATAGTTCTCTCCACTCGTCATCTAAGATGACAACATTATTGTTAAAACTTAATAAGTTTGCCATAATCAACCACTCTTACCCTAAGCCAGGCAACTGACAGGCAACAAACTGATGCTCTTTGAGAATAATCAAGGGAAGTGAGGCCCAAGTGCCTGCATAGCACAGCTTCCCTTCTAAAAGCTGTCAGCAATCTCTGGCACTGTGGTTTCTTTACCTTGTTTGTGCAGGTCTCCACTGTGCATCTTTGCATGTGCCGTACACGACATGGGCAGAAAACCTCCCAGGTACCACGGGCAGAAAACCTCCCAGGCACCATCATTACCTCTGTGTTCTGGCTGTTCAGCAAAGCTTGTTCCAGGTACCAACACAAGCAGCTTACAACCTACATTCTTCTCCAGGGCAGAGGGTGACAGGACAAGAGGACATAGTCTTAAGTTGCACCAGGGGAGGTTTAGGCTGGGCATTGAGAGGAATTTCTTCAGGGTGATCAGATATTGGAATGGGCTGCCCAGGGGGGTGGTGGAGTCACTAGCCCTGGAGGTGTTTAAGGGAAGAGTGGACATGGCACTTAGTGCATGGTCTAGTTCACATGGTGGTGTTTGGTCACAGGTTGGACTCGATGATCTCAGGGGTATTTTCCAACCGAACTGATTCGGTGATTCTGCGATACACAAAGCTACTAATGTTTAACAAGGTTAACCAGTCTCCAGAAGGACCGACGGTGAAGTGTACCCCAGCACAGGGGACATCTGCTCAGGTCGGCGAAAGGCACTCTGTGCCTGCCGAACCACCGGGCTGTGATGCTTATCAACACCTCTGTGCCTCGGTCCGCCACCCCTGCAGGCCCAGCACGGAGCCGCGAGTGCGGTGCCGGGCGGCCGATCCAGCCGTTCCCGCCGCTCCCAACCCCGCGTCCCGCCAGGCTCCCGCTCCCGTCACCAGGGCAACGGGCAAGCGGCGCCCAGGGAAGGGCACCACGTGCCCGGAAGCGCCTCGAGGGAGGAAGTGACGAAGGGCCGGGGGAGCCCCGGAGGTCGAGATTTAAAAAAAAAAAAAAAAAAAAAAAAAAAAAAAAAGAAAAAAGAGACTAAAAAAAGAATGTAAAAAAGAAAAGAATAAGGGGGGGGGCCCGGGGGGGGGGTGGGAGAGCGTCCCGCCCTCCGCCTCCGGGGCCGCCCCGCCAGAGCGCGGCCCCGCCGGGAGCCGCGGGCAGGTCCCGCCCCCGGCACCGCCCGCCCCGGCCCGGAGCCCCCGCCCCGCCCCGCCCCGCCCCGCCCGCTCGGCGGGCCCGGCCCGGCTGCCCGCGCGCGGGGGGCGTGTCGGGCGGCGGCGGCAGCGGCGGCGGCGCGGGGGCTCCGGGAGCGCGGGCACCGCGGGCGGCGGAGCCGAGCGGGGCAGAGCGGGGCAGAGCGGGGCAGCGCCGCGGCGGCCGCAGGTGAGACGGGGCCCGGGGCGCGGGCGGCCGCGGCCGGGAGAGTTCCCCGGGGCCGGCGCGGGATGGAACTTGACAGCGGCGGCGGTGCAGCCATTGTCTACCCGGCCTGGCCCCGGGCAGCTCCCCAGCGCAGCCCCGCTCCCGCTCCCGGGCAGCCGCCGCCCGGCTCCGGGCATCCTGCGGCGCATCCCGCCTCTCGGTGCGGCGGGGCTGCGGTCACGGCACGGCGCGGCACGGCACGGGCGGTGGGGAGGGCGCCCGCACGCCGTGCCGGGTGAACTTTGCCGCCGGAGTTGCCGGCGGCCTGGGTGCCGCCTGCCCCCTGCCAGCCTCCCCTGCCGCCCCCCGCGGCCGGGAAGGGCGGGCCGGGCACGGCGGAGTGGGGACCGGGTGGTGCGGGGGTCCTGCAGTGCTCCAGCGTCGCACCTACTGCTGCTTCCAGAGCATCCCAGAGCAGAGTTAGCGTGTCCCGGCAGCTTCGCACCTCTGCTTAGGTAGCTTGGAAGCTGTTGTGGAAACGTACAGTAACGGAGGAGAGTGCCCTGCAGTAGTCCTGATTATCAGTTTTTCTCCCCCAAACCTGTGGGGCAAACCTGTGCAAATCTTACTTGTTTGCTAACTTAGTTTCTCAAGGATGATGTGACAAAATGAGTTAGAAGGTTAGGAAATGTTCTGCAGACAGCAGTCTTGTGCCGGGGGGGAATGGATGGGGTGAGCAAGTAAAACTTTTCTACCAAGTGTTTGATGACTAGAGTAGATGTTTGACCTGACTCTTCTCTGCTCTTATGCTTGAGAAAGGTCAGGAACTTGTAGATGGGCCACCTGTGGTGTTCTTGGGGTGTGCTGAGATCAGCAGTGTGGGTTAGGCTCTGGACTGGCCCATGTTCTCATGCCTGTACTGCTGCCTGAGCCAATTTTCTCCCTTTTCCCTTCCTTTTTGCTGTGTGGTCATTCCTGCCATGGAGCTAAAAGGCCTTTGTATCCTTCAGGGGCTGCCTTTTAGGGGTGCAGTTCTAGCTGTTGTTCAAAGGTTAATTTCAAGTAATGGCCACATTGTTAGTCTGGGGTTTTTTTTGTTTGTTTGGAAAACCCATGGTTTAATCATTTTTAGTGAGTTATCCAACTCATGGAGCAGCTAGATGAGTCAAGTGATGTGATAGCATAGTGATCACTAAATTTTTGTAAGAGGAAGGTGCTGGAAGATGCACTTGGAGGAGGGGAGGGGGTGTAATTCTGCTATTCTGTCTGGGAATAGCCTGTGTTTGGATCGGATTACACTAACATGGAGCTGCAGCCTTAGATGAACTTGCTTGGGGAAATACTGTGCCTTTTCACTTTTGTATTTGGAAAGGGTTTTGCTGGATAACCCTACTTGCTGTGAGTGACTTAAAATTCTTACTGCCCTTCAGCAAAGGGAGAGTATGCTTTTCTGTCCATGTCTCCAAAAGGCCTTCTGCCTGCACAGAAATTCAGCAAAATTATTCAATGCCTCTCATGCCAGAGGTGTTTCAGTAAGATTCTCTTTGTTCTAGGACCTGATTTTAATAAGATCTAGATCAATATGGAATTCTCAAAAATGCTGGTAATCTTAGGATTCAGTAGTGCTGTTTAGTGAGGAAACACAGATTGGTGAAACAGAGCACCAAGTCAGAAGCCAGGTTTCCCCTTTTGCAGCTGTTGAGGGTAAGGGTGAACATTAGTTACATTCTTTCCTCTCACTGACACTTGTGGCATCATAAGTAAGGTAATTCAGCTCACTGATCTGGCAGAAAATGATGTTGAGGGTAGCTTTTCTGCAGAGTTAACAAGTTGATCTACTGAGCACCAGAAATGAGGTGAATGCTAGGAGGTTGAGGGTGAGCAAGGGAGCATAAATTGTCTTCTAATGGCAGCTGAGCTACTAGAGAACTCGGTGTAATGTGTGTAGCTTCACTTGCATTTTAACTCCATTCAAAGTACTTCATTTATCCACCACGGTGGATAAAAGTCTGTATTTATTCTCTTCCTTCTCAGTTTGTTTATTTTCAGGCTTCATTTAATTTTTGTGGTGTTGCGCTCTGGGGAAGACCTTTGAGGCAGTTGTTTCTCCAGAGCTTTTATATTCTGGATAGTTTTATTGCCCAACTCTTTCTAGCTGTAGTAGAGTTGTGCCTTAAGATGATAGTGACCAGTTAGGAGGAGGCGTGTCTCAGGTGAAGAGAAGATGACTTCAGGGCAGAATTACCGATGGCCATCAGTCCTGCACTGAAGCAGTGCAGGAAGCCAGTGCTGGATTAGCAGGGAGATGCCTGGGCAGGACTTGAGGGTAGAGATAAAGATGTATGTGGAAGACAGGACTGGAGCAGCAGCTTTCTGCTTACCAATTAAAGATTTTCCAGATTCTGAGGAGCAGGTTTGAAGCAGCAATTCCTTCATTTAGCCACCCATCCTCTGCAGTGTTAATGCTGTTGCCCTACTTTCGAGTAATCTGCTGTCCTTAACACCATGTCAAAATTTAAAAAGTTGTCTGGTTGAGACTATTGTTGAACCCTCTTTTCTGCTGCACTGGTCTGTTTGTTTATGCACTAGGAAAACATTGTTTGGTGAAGGCTGTGAAGCTCAAAATCTCTGGATTTAGAAAGGGCTAGATAAAGGGGCTGTGCCAGTGGTCTGGACTCCTGGAAGCTCATTTAGAGGGGTATCATATAGAGGTCTCTCATATACATTACAGAGGAGCCAGCTGGTGTTTTGGAAATAAATAGGCTGTCAGTGATAATAGGACTATCAGAAACTTTTTAAAAAATCTTACATGAAATTATATCCTTCTAAAAAGTCAGGTTTGCGTTTTTTTTTTTCCCGGTGGAATTCTGTTGAATAATCACTTTTGCTCCCTTTTCTGTCTCTAACCCCTCCTGCCACTACTCCTGGTGTAGCTCACGTTTCTTGCTGTAGAAAACTCCCTCATCATGTCAATGCATTACTCTTCTGCTAAGCACTCTCTTCAGTCTCACTTCTCTTCCTCTTGGCTGATGAAAACGTTCTCCAGTCCTTTCTCAGTCCTGCGATTCACTGCAACTCATCTTTCTGCTGCTGGAAGATCTCCTTGGTTCTGCATGACCTCTTCAGTAACTTTTGCCTTACAAGTGTTGCCAGTGAACACTTCATCCACTCTGCTTCTGACTCTATTCCTCCTGAAAGCAACTTGCCACCACAGATACCAGCCTCTAGTCTGTTATCCAAGAGAAGATCTGTCAGGAACTACAAGTAGTTAGAAAGTCCATATGATCGGAGAAAGAAAGAAAGGGTTGAGGGCTGGAGGCTAAGTTAGGAGAAGGAGGGACAGAGTTGGTATATCTGCAGTAGGGCGATGGAGTTGAGGTACTGGAGGAGGAGAGGATCAGAAGTTGCCAAAGTGCAGTGGAGGACTGGAAGCACGGTGGAATTTGCCTGAGTTCACTAGCCCCTCTTGAAGGAAAGGTCTGTAAACAAATGATTGCCTGAATGAGCTGCAGCTGCTCCTTCACTACCTTTTCAAGATTTCATGATGCTGTAGGTTCCAACTATAGCATGGCAATAAAAATATGAGAATGTGTGCATTACGTCTCTGACTGTGGTCATAAAAGATTTAAACTGTGAGTGTAATTTCTGGGTGATTTCGGAAGCCCACCATCCCTGGTCCCTGTGATGTAGCAAAGTTGTGCATGGAGCCTGGTATTGAGATATTCCAGTAAAAAAGCTGTGTAATGTAGTGAAATACAGTTTGTTTTTTTCTGTAGCCTGACTTACTTTCCAACTCTCTCAATGTAGATCTGGAGTCCAGCTCAGCCTGAGCTCCTGGGATCCTGTCACCATGGAGACTGAAAGTGAGCAGAACTCCAACTCCACCAGCGGGAGCTCCAGTTCTGGAGGAAGCACCCGTCCTCAGATATCACAGATGTCTCTCTATGAGCGACAGGCAGTACAGGTGAGACACAGTTATGTTCTGGGATGGCAGGTGCCTCAGTGGAAGGTGGTGGTAAGCTCTTTTGTGTTCCCCTGAGTTATGTGTCCAAGTGGGAGCATGCTCAGAGGACTGTCGTGTTTTCAGATTTAGAAATTCTTATGCTAGGCCTGAGTTCTTACAGCCTGAGACGTCATGTTTTATAGGTTACTCCTTCAGTGTCCAGCCTCTTAGATGTAATCTGTACTGTGATCCAATACATTGATTTTAGCCTGCTGTTCTAGAGCAAGTCACTCAGTTTACCGTCCCAGCCTGTCTATACCCTCCATACGTGGGAAAACTTGTCTGCGTATGTGACCACACACATCCCCAGATTCCTGGAGTTTATTAAGCTCTTGCAGGTGTGCTTCCTGCTGTCCTGGAATACACCTGTGATTCAGTCTTTTACCAAATTTGTGACTGTACTATGGATTTTGAGGTACTAATCTAGTGCATGTTTTTTTTCATTTGGTCTAGGGATGTTCTCGTGGCTGTTACTTATTTCTTCATTGTGCTCTTCAATCACCCTTCAAGCACACACAAGTTTTGACAATTGGGTTTTCCTCTTTATCTAGGCCCTGCAGGCACTCCAGAGGCAGCCCAATGCAGCCCAGTACTTCCATCAGTTTATGCTCCAGCAGCAGTTTAACAGTGCCCAGCTTCACAGTCTGGCTGCTGTCCAGCAGGTGAGTTGCCAAGAGGCAGAAGGAGAGGAATTGGATCATTCTCTGGGGAAGATCCAGAAGTTATCTTCTTGTGCAGCGCCTTGTGCGCTGAGGTCATCCTGATCCCCGATGAGACAACAAGTCCTCTTGTTTAGAGTTAATACAAACAGCTAGTAAACTGGAAGCCTGATGCAAAGATTCATTTGTTTTTCAGGTACAGAGCAGGGGAAGATAAAATTTGGTATCCCCATCAGGGAAGTTGCACTCCAGAGGCCTATGACTACCCCCTGCACCTTCTTTAAATAAAAGATGGGTGGTTAAATCAGCCGTGAATGCAATAATGTTAAAAACCTGTAGTAAAGGGAACAGTGGATTGTTACTTCTCTGAGAATAAATGTTTGTGTTTGAGTGAAATTTCAGGCGGTATCCTCTGAATTTTCTGTCTTGAAACTTAGTAGCTCATGTTTTCTTTAACAGCAAGAGGGATCTGGGGTGGATCTTGTTCAGCCAGGAGGCTTTCTTTTTAATTGAGACATATATAGATCAATATGAATCAAGATATTTTATGATGTATAACTATTGAATTTTTTTTTCTTTATCAACTTTGCTCACCTACCAGACTTTATCATCAGTTGAGGATGGATTATGTGTGATGTGAATACAGTTCTGTTTGTGTAACAATATCTCAGTAGCTGAACTCCTTGACAGTTAGTCCAGGATGTAGTTGTTCATAAAATACCTACCTGTTGTCTTATACTACTGAAGGATTAGAATCCTCGTGTCATTTTTGCACAAATCTTAGTTATAAAATTAACTAAACTCATACTGGTGAATTCCCATTGGATCAGAGAGGGGGAAATAAAGAAACCAATATTTATATTCCTCCACAAACCATATGTACTGTAATCTGAAATTTGTTACTTGGAGTACTATCATTGCATTGTTACTAAACTGCCTAGTTAGCCCAGCAAAGTGCTAATACTGCAGGGAATGTCTGGATGTTAACAGTGGATTTCAGCATTAGGGTGAGAGTTGCAGTGTGTAGCATGACAAGCTGGGGAACAGTAGGGTGTTTACCCCTGGGTGGAAGGACTGGAGGTCCTTCACTGTCAGGCTAAGGGACTAGGTGTTCTGACAAAGCCAAATAATTGGCCCGGATTAAAAAGTTTGTTCCAGGCACTCATTTCTCTGTCAATCTTTCTTGCAGGCTACAATTGCAGCCAGTAGACAGGCCAGCTCGCCCAACACTAGCACCTCTCAACAAACCACCACCACCCAGGCTTCTGTAAGTAAAACTGCTCCCTCACACATATACTGAAGCCTCCCTATTACTCCCCAGTTGTTTTTTCCTCCTCTTTGTATATAAGGATGGCAGTCAGCCACACAGCTTCTAAGAATTCTGGGAATCCACAATATGCAGACAACTTTGAGCATTTGGGTTGCTATCATTATTGGTGGGGGTTAAGGAGACCAGATAAGGTTTTTGGGTGGGAGAGGCCTCTTAGCTGGAAAGGTAGACATGGATCTCTGTTTGCTGAGGCTTTGGGGTATGTTGTCATGTATTAGAAAAGGGTCAGGACTTTGGAGAAGGAGTCATGACAGCTTGAAAGGGAATCTCCTTTTGTCTTGGGCAGAGTAGTAGTTTGTTGAATGAGAGGATGTCTGTTTTGTAGTGAGTATTGAGAAGCTTGGATTTGTTTGGAGAGTAGATGAGTGGGTAGGGTAGAGAAGATTTTGTGGGTTTTCTGCCTTTACTTGAGAGGCTGGAGAAAATGATGTAATTTTTTTTTGGATCTCTTATTACAGTTGCATGCTAACAGTGATACTCAAGCTCAGCATACGAATGAGGTTAGTATCCAGGGCTTTGGCTAGTTTAGATTTCATAGCCTCTAAGATGAGCCCTCTAAGACAAGAACTTTCTTCTTCTTGGTCCCCTGTGGGATACAGGAAAAAAACTGTAAAATGTCTGTTCTGGCTGTACCCCACTAAGTGAATTTGTACTTATTTCTTGGTCTCCATGTCTTCATATATGATTTGGAACTTTTTTCTGTTCTAAGATCAACCTAGCCACCACATCAGCTGCTCAGCTGATCAGTCGGTCACAGAGCGTGAGTTCCCCCAGCGCCACAACCCTGACACAGTCTGTGCTCCTTGGGAATACCACCTCACCACCTCTCAACCAGTCACAGGCCCAGATGTATCTTCGGGTAAGAGATGTGCATGCAAAATGTGTCCTGACCGTGAAACCCGCTTACTACCTCCTTCAGTGTCTCACTGCTTGGGATTGCTATCACCTATGGACTAAGTCTAACTTTATGGATTTTGCAGTGTATTTTAAAATTGTATCGGGAAGCTCTTGTCCCTGAAACCACAAATTTGATTCTGGGCTCTGCTTTTGAGGGTAGATGAGCTTTGTATTTTGTGACTCAGGTGAAAATGTTAACAACTGTGTGTCTCTGCTCTGCATAGATGTTAAAGATCCCATAGCACTTCTCACTAGAGTGTAAATGTGAAATATATGTCCTAGACTTGAATATAGCTCATGGAAAAAAACCTACTCTTCTGGTTCAGTACTGGAACAGATATATGGTAAATTATTCTTCTACTGTTGCTGTGCTCAGCAAGTTTAGAAACATAAATGAATGTGAACAAATAGTCATTGCTTTAATTTCTATGAAGTTCAGCTAAATAGAAAACACTAGGCTTAGCTATATAGTTAGTCTGGGGCTTGGTTACCTACTTAAAAAGTCAACTGTGTCTCAGTTGACTTCAGATACAGATTGTAATCCCCATCTTCTCAAGCAACCCTGATCTTGGATGTATGTCTTTTATCGCCATTTCCCT